CCCACAAGCTTCTTATTTTTATACTCGATGTGAGATTTTGCCACTTAACACGCCCCCTCACGTGCAGGCCTGCTATCAATGTTGGGTTCTGTCACATGGGTTAACAGGCCCCCTTAAATGCAAGTCCAGTATCTTCAACTTCGGGTCTTGTTAGGTGGGTTGATAACGGGCTTTCAAGGCAAAACCTGGGCTCTAATACCATGTGAAGATTGTGCATATGGGCTCAACACCTTGTACTCTATTTGTTATAAAACTTTATTTGTTTGCTGTGCAAAAAAAAAAAAATAATCTTCAAACATATTAATTACTGTTGATCCAACGATTTTAAAAACCTTAATGAAAAAAAAAAAGGTATATATACAAACTACTAAAAAATTTAAAAAAAATAAAATAAAAAGACTAATAAGATGAATAGTGCTTGTGCACTCAATCCACCCTGAGTGTCCTTACAAACTACCAATGGATTAATTCACGCATGCAAGGGGAAAAAACAACCAGTTTGAAAGATTAAAATGACAACCTTTAACAACTCTAAATTTCAGTCAATACCAGAAAGATTTAACCTAGGAGAGATTAAATATTCTGTCCAAATCTAATTCTATGTTTTTGAAGACAACCATTTTAGTTAATTAACCAAATCATCAAAATTTTTTAATGCAGAATAGCATATACATAAATATGTAAGTCCCTCTCTGAGAACTAACCAAAACATTTTCAGTGTCTAAAGCTAAATCCTTTCCCTATGAACAGTGAAGGAAACATTCAAAAGTTAAACAAAGAACCATTCGGGTTGGTTGATGGGTCTCTAGCTAGCTATGAACCATTATAACATAAAATTCTAAACAGTGATCATTCACTTTTTTCTCATTTTTTCTTGGGTCATCATTCTCTCAAACTGGGAGACCAGTTGTCGCACATTACCACCACCACTGCTGTTGGCCTGGACTTCTCCACTTGTCGACACCAAGACAATTTCCAAATCAGTTTGTGGTTGAGAACTTGAAGAAGAACTAGTTCTTTGAGAAGTCTCTACAGAAAAAAAAAAATTGTCATCTATTGCTTAGAGAGAAAACTTATTATAATATAGTTATAGTTCAACTTTAAACTTAAATGTTAACCTGCTGTAGGGTTTTCACATTGTGGCGAACTCATGGCTACCGCTTGGGGCCATGCCGCCTGTCTACAAAAATGGACATACAAAATGCAACAACATAACAAAGCAACTAGAATCCTTAAACCTTGATGCAAGAAAAAACTAAAATGGATAGCAATAGAAGAGAATATTGAGTTGTGGTTGGTCGAATCAATTCATTCAGACTCACTAAAGCAGCCAGACTAGAGACTAATAAGATGATATTGGACTGATAAATGGAGTTAAGTAGATAGGTAACCACACACCCACTAAAACATTCAAGGATTGTAAAAAAAGTCCATGAGGTCCCCTCATGAAGGTTGAATTCCTAAGCATTTCTAAATGTCTATACAATAGCACCAACAATGCACCCACTGCCAAAACTAAAACAAGCATGATTTTATATCTTTCTGCTAAACTCCAAGTTTCTAACTCCATAAACACTCCAAGAATAGACAGGACTATTAAGGACAAAACTAAAACTAGAAAAGGCAAACCCTTAGTATAGACGTCTAAAAATAGTTCCCTCATTCTTGAATCTTGGTTATCTGTTTCAATTAAAAAAATATAATTAAATATCACTTAACTATACTGTTCATAAATTAAGATGAAGCAAAAACTTATAACGAATAGCAAAAAAAAACTAGAAAATCAATAAGTTGTACAACAGAAATTACAACTAAAAATAGCTTTAAATCAAGTTAAGAAGAAAACACGTTGATTGAAACTTTTTTCTATTGATATAAAAAAGAGGATCGATTTTTTTTTTGAAAGGGAACTGAAAATCATGGAAGACTCACCTAAACTTCTTTTTTTTTTATTCTGGGAAAGAAAAAGCATAGGTTTGCAAAATGGAACAACCCGTTGCATAGATTCAACTTCTTTGATATCCAATCTTACCCTCTTCTGTTTTTTTTTTTTTTTTTTTTTTTTTTGAAAAACAACTGAAAATCATCGAATGAAGAATCAATGTAGATATAAGTCTCACCTTAACTCCTTTTGATTCTGTGGAAGAAAAAGTGTAGGTCTGCAAAATAGAAACAACTCGTTGCACATATTCAACTTCTTTGGTGTTCAATCTTACCCCTTTCTTTTTCTTTTTTTATTTTCTTTTTGAAAGGCAACTGAAAATCATCAAATAAAGAATCAATGTAAATGCAAGGCTCACCTTAACTTCTTCTATTGATTCTGGAGAAGAAAAAGCGTAGGTCTGAGAGATAACTTAGAGAGCTAAGAAATAAGGAGCTCGCAAAGAAGGTGTTGGAGAGCTAAAAAATAAGGAGCCCGCAAAGAAGGTGACTTGGAGAGCAAAGAAATGCGAAGCTCTTAAAAATGGTTAAGACAACCCATTCTGTTACAGAAAGAATTGCAGTCCGTCGCACAACATCTTTCTTTCATTGGGGGACGTGCTTATGTGGGGCAGGGTGGAAAAAATTCAGATTTTTTTAGCCAATAAAGTCCGTTGATTTTAGTCGATCATTTTGGACGGTCACATGCTTCAGTGAGGAAAAAAGGGCACATTACCGGATAAAACCCGCACTGGGGCTAGAGGCTGACAGTAAGTCCCCAAGGTTGCATGTCAAATCAGGTCAGGGAAATATGTATGACTGCACGAGGGGTATACACATTTTCTACAAGGGGTGTACACATTTTTAAACTTGTCTCTATTAGCTACTTTATACTCTTTCTTTTTTAAAAAAAATTATAATCACCCTTTAATTTGTTAAAATCATATGATATTATTCAAAAATAATAATTTTATTTGATTTAATTATTAAAAATAATCATTAATTAATATTTATTATTTGATAAATCAAAATTAATTTATAAATTAATATTTTTAAACTTCATAATTAATAAGTTTATATATACAGTGGTGGAGCCAGGCAGTGCGAGGGGACGAGCGCCCCCGAAATTTGAAAATCTTATAAATTAGTATATGAAAAATTTTTTAATCTTCCCTGAACTTTGAAAATTTTAGTATTTTGCTCCCCCAAAAAAAATTTCTACCTCCGCCTCTATATATATATATATATCAATCAAATTTAACACAATTTGACCAACCTGAAAGAGAGGTATGCATCTACTAGTAGGTTGGACGTGTTAATTTTTTCTAGTGAATAACGAAGTTTAAATGATAAATTAGATGATATATTAGAGTTGATATATTACATAAGTTTCTGTACAAACTGATTATAGACTACCACAAAGAATTATATATTAGGACTATATTATAAATATAGAAATGTTTTATGCAATTTGGGAGATGAAAATATCTTTTTATATTTAAGGTTACATTATTTATATATGGGGGAATTAACTGTTTAAAATAAAAGTTGATAGTATTGTTTATTTTAAAAGAAAGATGAAAAAGGACATACATATATTTAAAAAAAAAAAGCATTAAGTTATTCAAATGGTACTAACCTACACAACTATATCTATTGAATTGGAGGTGAGATCTTCGATATTGGGTTTTCCCCCATTCAGTAGGTCATGTTTTACAATTCTATGCAGTTCAAACTGTAAAATAGAGTATTTTACATAAATATTTAAGGCAACAATACTATTGTTATAATATCAAGTAAATGATATTAAATGAACAAAAATACTATAATTATAATATTACGTGATATTATAAACTTACAATATGATATTTTATTATATAATTACTCTTTTTATTTATGGATCCACTTTTGATATTATATAAATCTACTCATTTAATATTTTATCATATTTATTTAATCTCATATAATATTATAATTATAACGTTGATGTTAAATTAATTTAATATTAAATAAAATGAATTAATAAATATGATATTATAATTATTTTTAAATAAAAAAATTAATTATATAATAATATATTATATCATAAATTTAAAATATTAAGTGTATTATAACTAAAACATGTTCTACATTCTAGGCAAATTCTAGTATTTGGCCAAAGAAAAATGGTGAATACTAATAACAGTACTCTCATAGTAGCACGGTGGGCTAAAAAAACAATAATAATAGCGCCCTGATAAATCAAAGAAAGTGTAGTAGGAGTCGGAGAGCTACGGCGCCAGCCAGCTCGTTTAGCAATTAATTTGGAATAGAGAAGTACTAATGATCAATCACATATATTACAGTAATATATTACAGTAAGATAAATCAACATGCTTTCTCTGTACCCAACTTTTGAATGTTGCCAACAGGCAAATCAGAAGTCTCCGGGCATGAATAGTAATAAAATCTATAACTGATAATGAACAGGGATGCAACAAATGTAGCAACAAGAGCATACTTGTTATCCCCACATGCAAAAACTGCCACTTGCATAAGTAGATCCAAGAACAAATCCAAATAGCCAAGATCAGGAGGATTCCGTCGGAGTTGATACCAGGTATGAATTTGCATAATAAACCCTGAGAAGACTTCGAGATTGGTGTCTGTAAACCCCCAAAAGCACTGCAATATTACAGCAAAAGACAAGGCAAACAACTCCAAACCATGTCTTGTGCAACGTCCCACTGGTTTACAGGGCAAGTATCGAGATACCATAGCAAGATAACAATAGAAAAACATAACCAATATGACGGACAGGCACATCACTGACATCACGAAAACCGCCAATGGAGTGACCTCAATAGTTGTTTCCATATAATCGCCCAACCAGGGCACTGAAAAAACTATAAACGTGGAGATTGTGTAGCCCAGACTACCACAATGCGACCAAAAGACTCTATCACACATCGAGTGCGTTCGTACAATTTCAAAGGAGAAAAATGGCACCTTCGCCTCCATCAAATTTCAGAGAAAGAAGACTCGCCGGAGATGGAGAGGGTGGCCGGTTTTCTTGTAAGGGTAAAGTGAAGCTATTAGGGTTCGCGGAGAACTGGAGAAGGTGAATGGGATGTGAATATTTTCTACTGGGCTGGCCCGTAAGAGCTATCTATTAATGGGTTTCCTCCATTAGGAATTTAGGATAAATGCTGGCCCAAAATGCATCTCCTTATTTGTTTATCTGATTCATTATTTGGTGACTAGTAGTGGGAAGGAAATTTTGAGAGATTTTTTTTTTCTTTATTATTAATATTTTTAAAAAAACGTAAAAAAGACCCCTAAGAAACTCTTCATAATTTGAAACCTATAAAAAATCTCAAAGTTAACTACCAAACTCTCAATTTGTATTCTGACTTACACATGACTTAGTGGATAAATTTGAGTTTTTTTATGAATTTTAAATTACAAAAAATGTTAATTGTAAATAAGTTAGTATGTATTCTTTTTGGAAAAAGTGTTGATTAATTTGAGTTGTACTGAATTACATAATAACTATTGAATAGGAGTTGAGTCTCTTAATATTGGGGGTCTTTCATCATTTAATAGTTTTTATTTTACAATTCAGTGTAGTTTGAATTGTAAAACAAAGTTTCATTTTTCTTCGAAAAATAATCTCAAATTTTAGAAGACAAAAAATAAAAAATAAAAAAAGGGGAACGAATGATTTTGAGCAACTATGCTTAAGTCAAGAAAAATAAGCTTTCTTAGGAGGTGAACCTTTTGGCCGTTGTAGCCCCACCAGTGCCTCTTGAGAATGTTGAAAAAGAAATGTAAGTAAATATCTGTCTCCTTAAATATGCATTTAGATATCAAAATGAACTAAAAATGACTAAATACATGAAAATATTACTAATCAAAATGCTCATAGAGGATCATTCACATTACATGAAGGTAGAAAGCCCAAATTAATTTTTAGGGAAACAAACAAGAAAATATAACTCAAGTATTCTTTGATGAAAAACCAAAAATCCTATGAGTCTCGTATTAATTTTTTGGACCATCTTCAATAGAAGCAAAACTCCCATGAAAAAGGAGAACAAACCCATTAAACATCCCCAACAAATAGGAGAACAAACCCAGTAAACATCCCAACTCACATGAGAACAAATCTCACCACCACAGTTTCAATTGAATATCTTAACCTGCTACACCTTCTCACGTCAACAAGGAACCAACATGCCCTTCAGCCAATGATGTAAGAGGAGGAGAAGAAAAGCAATTGTTTTTTGGGTGCAAATCCAACAGGGCATAAGGATAAGCTTAAGGGTTTGGATTAGAAGGATTAGGGATTTTTTTTTTTTTTTGTACATTGTGAAAAATTAAGGATTTTTTAAATGACTTTAAATGTCACACTAACAGAAAAAGATACTGGTGGGTGGTGTTCGAGTCAAAAGGCAAAAACCCTTATTAAGCCCCTCAACTTTTTCGATAGAAAGTGATAAGTCCCTGAACTAAAATTGAAGCGAATAAGCCCTCCAACTCTTCGTTTGAAGTGAATAAGCCCCTCTGTTACGCTCCGTTAACTGAACCCCTCAACACCATTAAAATATTACATGCAACCAGAAACGAATGTTATCCAAGTGATTCGTAAAATTTGAAATCTACAAATTTCCTAATTAGTTAACCATAAACCTAGTAAAGAATAGATTCCAACACTAAAGAGCATCTAACAGATATATTAGGTACTCCCAAATCTGATTATGAATGTTAAGAAAAAGAAGTAAAAGCTGAAACATTTGTAGTCTATATAAAAGCCAACAAATCTGGGTTCGACTACAAAACCCAGTTGTTGGGTTCGACAGAAGCCAAATCTGTTGGGTTCCATCAAACCCGGGGGCTAGGTTCAAACCCAAAGCAGAAAGAGAAAAAAAAAAAGAGGGGAAGAAGATGAAATGAGAGAGGGAGATGAAGGTATTAAGGTAATTTTATTGTTTTTTATTTTTTTGATTAAAATTATAAATATTTATCTGATTTGGCATAAAATTTTGTGTATGTCAACACTTTTATTGTCCATGTTATCAAAAAAAAAATTAAAAATGCCACATATGCCAAGTTAACGGCCTAAATTGATGGGAGGACCAAAATTGTACAATGTCTAGAGTTCAGGGATCAAAAAAGTATAAAAAAACTTGAGGGATCAATAATGTTCAAAATTGAAAGTAGAGGGACCAATTTTAGCATTTAACCTTTTTTTATTATGTAAGATTGTCCTGTATGAAGATTTTTTTTTTAATCTTAAATTATATATTATATAATAAAAAATAATTTTTTTAAAATTCCTTTCCATCCATTTCAAGATTTAAAGTTTAAATGTCTAAAATATAAATTCAAAGTGTTAACGGCTGGACATCCCTGAGGGATGTGTTGTATGAAGATTTAGCAATGGTACATTTCATTCTTTTTAGGTTAAATGCGTTAAATGCTAAATTTGATTTCTCTACTTTCAATTTTGAACATTTTTTATCCCTCAACTTTTTTCTGCACTTTTTTTATCCCTAAACTCTCAATGTTGCACAATTTTGGTCCTTCCATCAATTTAGACAGTTAACTAGGCTAACATGGCATTTTTTAAATTTTTTTGATAACATATCATTTTTCTTATTTCTAACGTGTTAATAATAAACATTATTAAACATAATTTTTTTATTTACCCTTAATTTATTCTTCTTGCCATCATTCTCCTCTACCCTTTCTTTGTTCTCCATCGTCAGATGAGATCTGGGTTCATCGCGAATCCAGACGCGAGCTAGGTTCGTGATGAACCCAAATGCGATCTAGGTTCGTGGCGAACCCAGACGAGGTTTGGGTTTGTCGCGAACCCAAACGATCTGGGTTCCCTGCGAACCCAAACAATCTAGGTTCATCCCAAACCCAAATCTTCCTCTTCTCCTTCTCCTTCTTCACGAACCCGAACGATATATTGAACCTTTCTGTTTGATATTTTTGTTTCAAATATTGTGATTGTGTATTAGCAATTTAGTATTATGAATGGTATAGAATTTTGTTCATATGTTTTGGTTTGGTTGTTTCTTTTGTGATTATGTAATGAATAAGTTGGATTAGATTTCAATTCCATTGAGAAAAGAGAAGAAGAAGATATCAGTTCAGATTGGTTTTGTAGATGAGAAAGCACTCTAAGATTTACATATTATCTTGGGGTCTATTTGAGTAGTTTTTGGTGTATTTGATTTGTGGGGATATAACATGGCATCACTTTTTGTCCATGTTAGTGCTTTTTAAAGTAGAAAACTGTCGTGTCATCAAAAAAAATTTTAAAAATACCACGTTAGTTGAGTTAACGGTCCAAATTGACAGATAGATCAAAATTGTGCAACGTTTAAAGTTCACGAATCAAAAAATGCAAAAAAAAAAAAGTTTAGGGATCAAAAATGTTTAAAATTGAAAGTAAAGGGATCAAATTTAGCATTTAACTTTTTTTTATTTTTACTTTTTGTACATTTCGCTCTTGAATTAGAAAAAATATATATTTTTTTTATAGGAATACACTAGTGATTAATTTTTTTATCAGCAAATTCAAATTAGCTAAATATAGGCCTACTACATTTTCGATGAATGAAAATATCTTTCATTTTTAAACTCATTTTTTTATAAACTAATATACTATTTTACAGGTATACTCAAATATACTGATTTTATTTTTCTCTTAAAAAAGTTAGACACAGTGAAAACACCATTTAAATGCACCCTCCTTAATTAAAACTTTTAACTTTAGCCTCTATAAATAACAGGCAAAGACCAGTTCAATAAAAAAAAAAAAAACAGGCAAAGACTGTTGGCTAAAACAAAAAACGAAAAGGAGAAGGAGAGATCATATCATTTTCCAAACATCTTGATGATCCAGACCCACTGGCCACTGGATCTACAGCGCTGTACAATATGTACTGGCCAGAACTAACATAAAAGCCAAAATTTGAATTTAGTTATGTTGATTTTCAGCTGCAACGGTAGTATGATTTTAGGATTTGTCCATTAATTCTCACAAGGCTGCTAGAATGACATAGTCCCTTACAAGTATATCTACCTAATATTTCCACAACGAACGAGAAACCAGCAAAGGCAGGGACGAGTTCCTGTAAAAATCTTTTTTTTTTTTTTTGGGTACAAAGTTCCTGTCAATTTTGACGAAGAAAAATGTTGGGTCAACCAGGTGCCTGTCTCTTGGCTGCAAGACATTAAATAAAACATGCGCAAATTATAACATTTGGCATGTAGAGAAGTGTGTAATAGTTTCATAACGGATGAGTACA